TAATTCGAGGTTGAATTTTACAGATCCCGTTCGAGAAGATGGTTTCACACTGGCACTGTACAGACATCACTAAACATATCCCCAATGATTGCTATATTTTTTTAATAACATAATAGGTTAGAAAAGATGATGTCTATATTACAATATTACAATAATCAAGAATATATTGGGTGTGTTTAGTAATATTACGTATATGAAATTAAATAAAAAGTCAAAACTGCATTAGTTTATCTCGCCTGTTCTCGCGGAATCTTTGGGAATCTTTTGCGGCACCTTAGGTCTCCAGGGAACCTCGGTTGAGAAATGCTGATCTAACATGTTTTACCGTTTTATTAAATATTCGTCAGAGAATGAGATATGGGAAAAATAAAAAGAGATTCTGGTATTATTATTTTTGTGCTGTTTATTATTCAATGGTCAATCATTTTTCAAATACATTCGAAATAAAGTTTAATACAGAAAGCAAGCTTCGGTAGGTTAGTCGATTCTAATGACTTTGTGAAAACCCTGTACATAACACATAAATGTCATTAGATAACAGAAGTCGAAATTTGAAACCTCAACTCCAATGCTTTATCTCGCAATTCTGCAATCTATTTTTTTATTTAGACATGATTATCCCAAACGATAGCGTGGGGGTCTGCATTATGTTATTAATTGTAAAAAAAGAAAAGTAAATGTGTGTCACCATTGCATTATGGGTGGCTTACGCAATAAACGACAGGTGTCCGTGGGAGTGCTTGCAATTAGTCTAAGTAATTTAGAATAGGGGTCTTCAATTATGTATATAATTGTATATTTGGGCAGAAATCCCTCTTTTATATAAGTTTCACTAAAGAGGATTGAAAAGGTACTACGGGTAATTTCATTTTTCTTGTGTTCTTCTACTTTTCTTCTTTTCTGGATATCGACTGTGAACACGGCCACATTCTGCTGACCGTGTTTGGAAAATAAATCATTCCTATAACTCTAGATACATACATGAAAAAATCCATACATGCAGTTAAAAGGCAAAATAAAATTCATCCTTGATAATGGCTAAATGTATAGACGAAAGCATTAAGACATACAGAATATTTCGATAATTTCTACATAATTTACAGCCAGGAAAGAATAACATTATAAGAACATACTTATCGGTGGTTTTTAGTGAAACATAATGCCAAAAATTATAGATACATATATATATATATATGGTGGTACTCGTTTGGAAAAATCTCGGATAGCTCAACTTGCAGTAAAAAAAAAAAAAAAAAAATAAAACGGTACCCGAGGAAAAATGGGAAATAAAAAAAGAAAGAATCAAGAAAATTAAAACGAGGCGAAAACAACCGTCCAGTGTTTAAGCTACAAGTCCGAAGAAAAAAAGCCAAAACGAGTAAAAAGACAACTACGTAGAGTGCCCAATACACTAAAGGGAGCAAAACCTAAGATAATCCTAAGGAGCCAGGCAAACCTACCTAGGTTTCACCTAAACGGACATTCAGGGTAAAACCGGCATTACCCTGACGATCCGTTTAGGTGAAACCTAAGGTTTGCCTTGCTCCTTGGGGATTATTTTACATACATACATACATATATATATATATATATATATATATATATATATATTTGTATGTATACAATTAAACAGAAAGAAAGAACAGACAGATTAAGAATCCACTCTTCTTAGCACTTACTTTTTTTTTAAAAGTGCTTGATACGACGTGGAGCAAAATATTATAATAATATTTTTAATTTCCGAAACATAAAAACTTTTCTGTAGTGATGTAAAACAATTTATAATAAAAATAGTATTATATATATTAATACATATATATATATATATATATAGAGAGAGAGAGAGAGAGATAGTTTTATGAACAGATTTAGATAAATATGAACAGAATGATATATATATATATATATATATATATATATATATATATATATATATATTTAATTTATATTTTATATATAAAGAAATAGTCATACATAGAATCAATTAGCAATATTAATGCGATTAATGGCGAAATCACTTCGCTAGTAGAAAATAATGTATGCATTAAAATACTGTTAATTCATTGAATGATGTGATCCACATTTATAAAACTGTTGTCAGATGTTTCTAGTGTCTACAAACAATTATTTCGTCTTCACGTTTTAACTATAAAGGAAAAAATTACATATATATATATATATATATATATATATATATATATATATATATAGTAAGGTAAAAAAATCCGTTGGTATATAATCCAAGTGAATCATAGTAATATGAAAATGTTAGAACCGCTCTACAAAAAAGACCTCGATGTATTTTATTTATACAGAGTAATATAATTAAAAATCAAACAAATCCTTATATGGGGAATAAGCTATTTCGACAGACAATAAAAGTGGTCATCTGTTTTTTTCAAGCCCGGTGTGCAGTGAAGTTCATGTCTGTAAGGCTAGAGGAAGCGGGAAATAGCAGTTAACTGCGAGGAATTGCTATTTGTCATCTAAAGTGTTAACTTAAAGCTAAAATTGCCGAAAACATCTAATACAGAGTTTACACCTTTCACTGTTTCAGCCAGACGCTAGGCACAAGACAGGGGTCAAGGAGGATATATATATATATATATATATATATATATATATATATATATATATATATATATATACTAGCAGCATGGCCCGGCGTTGACCGTGCTTGTTTCAAAAATCGTACGACTCATACAGCAATCGCTATCACTTGACTTAAAATATTTTTGCCCTTCCTTGCCTTTAAACGAGTGCCCTTTGCCATGCTGATGTTGCTACATGCCTTACTTCTTGCCTATCTCACACTACAAATGTTTTCTAAGCTCTATACTAAACATTAAATCTGTGACGAAAAAAGAACTAAACAAAATGAACACAAAACGATCAGCTTTAAAAAAGGACTCGTAACTGGAAAAACCAAATGAAAAAAGAATTTTAACAACAAATACTTTTTCACACCCAACCCAGTTCTGTGGAATCGGAATCAACGTTGAGTTTAAGCAAGCGAATGAGACAATTGGAGTAAAGTGCCATGCAGATTTAAATTTTTCCCACTTGTGACGAATGCAGCTATCAATTTTTTTGCATGCTAGCATGCTAGTTAACATTCGTGTCAGTCAGCTGTTGGCTCTCACGCTGGACAATAGAATCTTCCTGCCTATTCGTGGCAGCCAGCTATAGGCTCTCACTCTGGCCAGTAGAAAATGGCCGCAAACTACATGAAAACTGCCGTAGAAGCATGAAAAATCAATTATTTCCACTATCGATGGGAGTTGGGAAATACAAAGTCGGTCTTGGCCTTTCCGCTAACTTAGAGCATGTGCATATAAATTTTGGTTGCAAATCCGTCGAAAATTGTGACCGTGCATTCGTTACACACACACACACACACACACACACACACACACACACACACACAGACATCCAGCCTTTTATAGATAAAGATATATATGGGCATTTCATTGAATACGAAAGACAAGATACGTTTATTTAGCTTTTTATACAATTTCTCATGCGATCTACTATTTTTTCTCTTTTCGGATGATAAATTATATAAAAACTGTCCAAATGTTCTTTTTATCCGAGCGCTTTCGGCTATACATTTAGCCATTTTCTAGGATTAAATATTTTAACTGTTAAATAAGGAATAGTTTGTTTCATGTATGTATATATAATGTTTTCATTTTTCAAAACACGGTCAAGATATTGTGTCCATGTTCAAAGTTAATATTATTAAGTGTTGTTTTTTTTTTTTATTAATAAGGCTTCCATTATTTTTAGCCTTTTCTTTGCATGTAGATGATGCTATTATATTAGTGTTGTCAACAAGTATGTTACGAATAGTGTCCGGTAGGTCTCCATGAATATTTAAGTGAGATCTAATTGAGCTATGGTCAGAAAGGTGTAGAGTGAGTCTGCGTGTCAAACATGTTGTAGTGTGGCCCATATAATTATTTTCGAAGTTTGATTGATCAGGAATACAATTCCTTAATATCTTGACCGTGTTTTGAAAAATAAAAACATTTTATAAAACATACAGCAATCTATTTCTTATTTAACAGTTAAAATATTTAATCCTAGAAAATGGCTAAATGTATAGCCGAAAGCGCTCGGATAAAAAGAACATTCGGACAGTTTTTATAAAATTTATCACCCGAAAAGAAAAAATTATTAGATCGCCTGAGAAATTTTTATAAAAGACTAAATAAAAGCACCTTGTGCGTCGTATTCAATGAAATGTACTTGAAAGAAGTATTGTGGCCTAAATACACACACACACACACACATATATATATATATATAGAGAGAGAGAGAGAGAGAGAGATTTATTAAGCAATACCGTCAAGTTCCGACTGTTCAACTTTTTATTTCGTTTTTCTAATTTCCGACTAAGTGGTTTTAAGTCAGAATTTATTTTCTAAATTTATTTTCTCCGTCCATTTATTGTATCGTGGTTAATATGTTTGTTTTGTTTGCTTAACAAATTCCGGCCTTTCCAAGCCTAATGAATACAATAGACTAATACAATAAAATAACTCCGGAATAAAACAATTTTATAGAAAACTAAATAAAAAGGCGGAAAGATATAAAGACCTTGCCACTATTGGTTAATAAAACTTAATTGAAATAGATTTACTGTTTATAATTTGATTGATTTATAAGCAAAGCGAATTCAATATGAACGATTAAACATTTATAAAAAAGATCAGTAGGATCATAGGAATATACACTGCATAGTTACAGGTTTACGCTTCTTGCGCGATCTTCAGACCAAGTGTCATTATTTCGTTAGTCGGTTTGGAACTAATTAATTAGACGGGCACACGCGTAAAAAAATTGAAAAATATTTTTTGCAGATTAGAATAGTTAATACAATCCTTCAAACCCAGATTTTTTTTTTTTTAAGGTGGGTTTCTAGAAATCTTCCTTAGGACGAGTTGAGCAATGTTTTAATTATCTATTTAAGGGATAGACATGCATAACGACCAGACTTAGGTAGATAGAGGTAGATAGATAGATAGATAGATAGATAGATAGATAGATAGATAGATAGATAGATAGATAGATATAAAATGGAGAAATTGATGTAGATAGATAGATAGATGTGAACACCCTGACATATATATGAACACACTGAGATAGATAGATAGATAGATAGATAGATAGATAGATAGATAGATAGATAGATGTGAACATCCCGACATATATATGAACACACTGAGATAGATAGATAGATAGATAGATAGATAGATAGATAGATTGAAGGTCGATGTATTAATGGAGGCACCGGTTAAGAGTGTGTTTAATCTTAATTACAAACGTAGATAAGGATGTAGACTTGTTTAACAATATATTACTGTGAAATTAATCCAACACTGATTCTGATACAAAGACCTTCGCAAGAAAAGCCGACGTCTCCTTGCATATTTCAAAAATGAACTTTCAAATCACGCAAACGCTGACTTATCGACACCGCCGGTTGTGTATAATACAAACAACATCCCTTGACGACTGCTGTCAGCCCCATTGTGGCTGATGATAGAGGTGTAAAGGACAAGTGTCCTAGCAAGGCTGGGTCATCCGAATTCCTTCTGCAAGATCTGCTAAAAGGGTGACAAGAAAACGTCATGGCAATGAATTGGCCCCACGAGATTTAGTGTTTTCTGAATAATCGCTGGGAAGAAAAACGGTGGTTCTGGAATCTGCAGTTAACTAGTACAAACATGGCGGACAATTCGAAGAAGTAGGAGGAACAGAAGAGGAAAAGTGTGAGGAAAAGAAGGAAAATACGAAAGAGAAGGAAAAAGGAATGAAAGGTGAGTCATCAGGGAAAGGTAAAAAGGAAGAAAATAAAGGGGAGAGTAAAATAAAGAAGTAGAAGGATGAAAAATAGAAGGAGAAAAGAGTAATATAAGGATATGAGGAAAAGTAGCAGAAGAATAGAATAAGGAAGTGGGAGTTCGAGGAATGGAAAGGGAAAAGTGAGAGGAGAGTAGAATGAGAGGTTAGAAAATGAATAGTAGTAGTGAGAGAAGTGTGAAATACGGGAGTGGGAGTTTGAAAAATGACACAGGAACAGTGGGAGGAAAAAAAACGCAGACATGGAAGAGAGGAAATGTGTGAGGAGAGTAGAATAAGGAAAGGGGAGGTTAAGGAATGGAAGAAGAGAGTGAGAGATGAGTAGAATAAGGAGGTGGGAGTTTGGGGAATGGAAGAGGAAAAGTGGGAGAAGGAGAGTGGTATGAGAAGTTGGTAAATGAAGAGGAAAAGAGGGGACGGAGGTAGAATAATGGAAGAAGAAAAGTGTGAGGAAACAAATGAAGATACGAAGGAGAAGAGGAAAGTGGGAGGAGAGTAAAATAAAGAAGTGGGAGGTTGAGCAACTGAAGAGGAAAGTGGAGAAGGAGAATTGAATAAATTTCAGAAATGGAAGAGGAAAATACTAGTTTATAGTTTATATATATATATATATATATATATATATATATATATATAGAGAGAGAGAGAGAGAGAGAGAGAGAGATTCTTTAATGGCATATCAACACCTGATGGGTCATTTAATGCCGAAATTTACTTTTCTTTGATAGGGCACATAAAAGTCCGCATCGAAATAATGTAAATTATGATAATTGTTCCGAGCATTAGGGAATATTTATGCAGCCGATTTGATCTCTGACCTAGCCCAGGTGGTTCAATGTGGGAGGTACTGACTTGTAAAATTCAATTCGGACAAAACTAAGCTGGTAACGTTTCGTCACTACCAAGCAGACCCCGAACCTTCAACTATCCTGATGGCTGGGTGTTCTCTCAAGGAACCTCTCTGCATTAAACGTTTACTGGGACACAACCTCAAAAGGAACTGATATATACGATATTTTGCTAGAGATGCAGTGGAAAAATTATCAGTTCATTTTAGCGCTCCAATAAGTATCTGGATCCCCTGCTATATTCCATCCTTACAAGAGCCACATCAGGCACCAAATGGAGTACTGCTGCCATATATGGGTTCGAGTTGTCCAGTCCTCACTTGCCTACACGGCTTTGTGGTTGATAGATTGTTTCCCACCCTACAACCCGTTTCCCCACAGACGAAAAACCTGGAGCCTCTTGCTGCTCGATCACAATTTATAGGGCGTGTGTATTGACGAGCTGCATTCCCTTTGCTTGGAAGCAATGATATGATATGTTACTCTGCTTTCATGGTTGAATACAAAAATTGATTAATAGTAACATTTTTTTTTAAATCATTTCACCCCAGGCAAGGCGGAAATGCCATTAGTACGCAAGGGTTGCAAGGTGTGAAAGTGAGAGAAAAGATTGGAATGACTGATGAAAGGAAAAAAATAATAAGGGGATTTTAGAAGACAGAAGATAGCGATTGGCGTTGCATTTCAATTTTTAAATATTGTAGTTATCTGGGAAGCAAGAAATCCGAAAGGAATTCCACGGTACGAGGTACGAGAAAATGCTGGAGTAGAAATGGCGCTTATATTTAGGTAGGAAACGAGTGAGACCTAAATGCCAATCTAGTGGCACACTTAAAGTCATGCAGACAGGGCATAAGGGGAAAAAAGCTCGTCAGAGCATTTGCCATGAAAATATTTGTATAAAAGGCAGAGGGAAGCCATGTCACGTTAGTGAGAATGTGACTGTCTATGCTAATATTATTTTGCTTATTTGGGCATAAATTAAACGAAATTTTTTAAAAGTGACAAGTCAAGCTACGCGGGAGTGTGGTGCATATGTGACCAATGTAAGAATTTAATAAATTTGGTAAATTTACTGATTAAAGGAACAACTAATTTGGAAAGATTTAAAAGTTAATAAATAATTAGATTGACAGAACATGTCAATATTATTTGACGAAATATGTTTGAAAGAATATATATATATATATATATATATATATTAAAGACATTTTTTTTTATGTTTAACATTCTTTTTATAGATACAAGTATTTTAGTAAATGCTCTGTTTATAATAAACAGTATTAAATAACATTTACCGGCCTGAATGTCCGAGAAATTTTCATAGAAAATATTCGTCCTTTGACGGGATATTTTCTGTGAAATTGTCCAATTCTTAATGTATATATATATATATATATGTGTGTGTGTGTGTGTGTGTGTGTGTGTGTGTGCAAATATATAGAAAAATAGGAAAGAACACATTAGGTAAATAATCCGAAATTCTTTAGTATTTTTGTTTTGATTTTTAAAAAACAGTGCCCAATACAAAAGTAGAGCATAAATTATAATTATTTTTTTTTAAATATGATTCCTTAGCTACATAAGAGTTCTCATGTTTCAAAAACAAGCGCCAAAAACTTCAATATAATTATTAAAATTAAATTGAATTAAAGTATCAAGCTCTGTTTCATCTTCAAGCAAAATTTTCAGGATATAGCAGGAGATCCCACGTTGAACCGGCCTTGTACCACATGATGCCCTTGTGGGGGTATGGGGGATTTTGACTAAATATTGTCAGTCGATACTAAAGTATCAGCGACCGCAACTAGATTACTCTGCGTCATTACCTATTATATCAAGTTCCTAACGTTTTGTACGTCGAACCTATTTTAGGACCGACTTAGTACAAATACAAGCCTCCCCTGTGAAACCACTCCATAACATTATCCCAGAAATTTGAACTGCCTCTTTTTTATAATATTAATAAAAGAAGCTTCGAGAGATAAACAAGAAGTAAAATAAATATTATAAAGAAAAGCATACTAATAAAAAACTATTTTTTTTAAATTTACATTTTTTTTAAATTTAAAATTTAAATTTTCTGATTTTTAATTTTATTTTAATTTTAGTTTTAAGTTTTTAAAATTCAAAATTTTCTAAAATGTGAAATTTAACATTTTTTAAAATTTAAATTTTTTTTTAATTTAATTTTTTTCAATAAAAAGCATAGTTATAAAAAACAAATACTTTTTGTAAATTAAAAATATTTTTAAATAATATTAATTTTAATTTTAAGTTTTAAAATTGTTTAAAATTTAAAATTTACTTTTTTTAAATTTTTTTTAAATTTGAAATTTTTTTAAAATTTAAAAATTTTTGTAATAAAAAGCATGCTAATAAAAAAACTAATCAAGGATTAGAAATTCTTTTTAATAGTATTTCTTAAATTTCATTAATATTAATTTTTTAAATTTAATTTTTTTTAAATTTTTTTTTTTTTAAATTTTAAAATTTTTAAAAATTTTAAAATTTTTTAAAATTTAAAAAATTTTTAAAATTTAAAACATTTTTTTAAATTTAAAAATTTTTAAAATTTAAATATTTTAAAATAAAAATATATTTAATAATAAAAAATAATAAAATGTATACTAATAAAAAACTAGTAAAAACCTAGAAAATAATTCTTAATATTTCTTAAGAATGTTAACAAAAGAAATTGCAAAAGAAGACGAAAAAGTGAAAATAAATTTAAAAAATCATTAAAAATATTTCAGTCATTAAAGAAAGCAAGGAAGTAAAAAAGCACAAAAGAAAAAAAAATGAACCCGAAGAAAATATGAAAGAGAAATATAAATAAATATTTTTTAAAAAATAAATAAAAACACTTTACAATAAGCAAAAAAAAAAAAAAATTACTCCATCTTCGCCGTTGTCAAGTTTCCTATTCATCTCCCTAAATAGCGTGTCTGCTGTAATCGGGGCAACTCGATCCGTGCTCCCCATTAACACAAATGACAACTTTAACTTCGTTATGGCCAAAGCTAATGACGGGAAAGGGATGGTCAGAAATAGAATTCTGGGAAGGTCTATGACGTAAAGCGACGCGAGCCTTGTAAACAGACGACACAAAAGAGAATAAAAAAAATAAGCGTTGAAAAGACAACGAGGTTAACACTGCAAAAGAAGCTGTAGCACGAGGCATGACCATTTACGAAGAATACAATTTTGTAACTAACAGTCGAAACCATCAACGGACACGGGTTTATTTATCTGTAGACTTTTCTCTTGTCTCTGCTGAATAAAAATAAATTTGAAAACAATTAGTAATTAAGCAATTATAGAATGATTTATCTAAATAAATAAACGGCAAATTCTGCCAGTCCATCCGTTTGACGGAAACTCATCCAACTCAGTCCAAACTTGCTCTACATACACAGATTATACCTTTTTTGAATCAGGATGGTCCGGGGATTAAAAATCTGCCCTTTCTCTGGTGCTTAAACAAAAAGAATTTGGATTTGTACCCGGATGAAGAGAGAACAGTTAAAAAGTCAAATTTTAAAATAACTGAAAAAAATCGTGATTTTAAAAGTTTTTAATTTACAACGAGGTTAAAGTAACACGAAATCTTTGTGAGTTCAAACTTTAAATTCAGTTTAAATATCTTCAAACATTTTGTGAATTTGGGAAATCAATTTTATTTCTTCAAAATGCCAAGGAATCGCTGTTAAATTGAGAAGTTTTCTCGATGTGAGGTTTTGAATTCCGCAAAGATTTTGGTTTGAAGAACTAAGCTCAATTGAAATTGCACGTTGTTTGTGATTTAAAGAACTCAGCTCAATTGAAATTGCACATTGTTTGTGATTTAAAGAACTCAGCTCAATTGAAATTGCACATTGTTTGTGATTTGAAGAATTCAATTTTCAGCCTGAATTGGTATTTCGACCCAAATCTGTTTTGGGGTCGAAATTGGACTTGTAGCGCGAATCAGAATTAAAGTGGGGTTTTGAAATTCCATGGAGTGAATTAAGGAACTCAAAGTTATTTCTTCAAAATTATCACTGCTCTTTACTCAGCTAGACTAGAGGTCCCTTTTTTGTGCTCTTCCCGGTGTGGAGTAGCTTAAAAGTCCGCACGGAGTGCGGCTTTTAAGTTAGTAATTAATAACTGAGAAGCTGATTGTTTAATATAATTTGAATATAGATTAAATTTTACCCTATAAACAAAATATGACGATGAATCATATTTATTGACTTTCAGCTGTGGTCGATTTAGCCTAGTTGTTAAGAAATGATGACGATAAAAATAAGATTTATATGACTGCGCCTGAGGTTTATGGGATCGTGATAAATGTGATTGTCCTTCGGTTTGTTAGTTCACACGACCGTTACGCCATGCCAATACCTCATAAATAATGGATTATTCCGTTTTGATCGCGTTGAAAGACAAAGTATATATCAGAGACGCTACTTGGTTTCACTGAAAGAAAGAAAGAAAGAAAGAAAGAAAGAAACTATAACTCATAAATAATCGACTATTGCGTTTGCTCGCGTGGAAATACGAAAAAGACATATCAAAGACGCTAATGATTTGGCGAAATATACATTTCAGTATTTCTTAAGTTATTCAATGCAGAAATTTTTTTTCAAACTCGAGCATATAGATAAATACTGATTGATTTACATTGTTTGTTTTTGTTTATTCTGTAGTTAAAGGGTAGGGGCGGGTTTATACATCATTCCATAGGTAAATAGAGTTTTTTTTGGGGGGGGGTTACTTCAGTCCTTAGTTAACAACTCGTCGGAGTTATAGTTGAGTCTATAGGTAAAGTTTAGGCGAATTTTTAATTAAGTATATAGGTAAACATTGGGCGTGTTTATATAGATGAAATAAACAGATAAATAAACATACGGATAGATAAATATCGATAGAGTTCATGCTTTATCTATCTATCTATCTATCTATCTAGCCAGCTAGCTAGCTATGTCCCTCTGTCTGTTCATATCTTACTCAGTATGTTCATTATCTATCTATCTATTCATATTCTATCTATCTATCTATCTATCTATCTATCAGTCTATTCATATCTATCTATCTATCTATCTAAGAAGGCAGAAAATTCTGTCTGTCCGTGTGTCTGAAACCTTTCTATCTCAGGCCACACTTGCTCTACACAAACAGATTATACCTTTTTCAAATCAGGATGATCCTGTGATTGAAACTTTTCCCCTCCTCTGGTGTTCGAACATCCAGAATTGGGATTTGTTCCCGGATGAGGAGGGCATAGTTAAAAAGTCAAATTTTAAAATAACTGAAAAATGAGTTAGTTTAAAAGTTTTTAAGTTATAGTGAGTTTAAAGTAACACAAAATCTTTGTGAATCTTTTAAAAAAATGTTTTTAATTGAATTTAAAATAACTCCAAAACTTTGTGAATTGAGGAAATCAATTTTATTTCTTCAAAATGCCGAGGAAACAGAGTTAAAGTGAAAGGTTTCATGATGTGAGGTATTAAAGTTCCGCAGAGTTTGTGATTTGAAGAACTCAACTGAATTTCCGCGGAGTTACTTTTTCGAAGGCATTCTTTGCTAATTTAAGGCAGCTTCTGATTTCAGTGTCACAGTTTTCACCCTCTGTTAAAACACTCCCCAAATATTTAAACTTCTGTACTTCATTCATTTTGACATCTTTAAGAAAACGACTTCGCTAGAAGCAAAGAAAAGGATTTTAAACTGTTACATGTTCTCTTGTGTGTCAGTGACTGCTAGACAATCTCCTCAAAGAGACTTGAAACAACAGAAATGTGGTTCTACAGAAGGAGGCTGAGGATACCGTGGACCAAACAAGTGAGCAATGAGAGAAGGCTTAGAGAAAATAGAAAACAATAAATGAAACTCTAAACATCAGTGAGAGAAGGTTGAAGTTTCACGGGCATATAACGAGGAAAGACGGCTTGGAGAATCTGATACTCACAGGACAGATAAACGGGAAGAGGGACAAAGGAAAACAACACATGACATACTTAGTGAGTTTGAGTAAATGGATGGCGGGGAAGGAGAAATAACAGAAAGACAAAGCTTTTTACTAGCCACAAGGGACAGGGATTTGTGGAGGGCCATGATTGCCTACATCCTGAAGGGACACGGCACATATCTTTATTTCTGAGATGAGGTATTATGTACACTATTTACATTATTCGGACTATTGTCCTCATCTTTGTTGCCATATTTATCACCCTTCAGTATCTGTCTATATTTCTGAGATGAGGTATTATGTACACTATTTACATTATTCGGACTATTGTCCTCATCTTTGTTGCCATATTTATCACCCTTCAGTATCTGTCTATATTTCTGAGATGAGGTATTATGTACACTATTTACATTATTCGGACTATTGTCCTTCTTTGGACTATTTATCCAGTATCTGTCTATATTTCTGTGATGAGGTATTATGCACTATTTACATTTATCGGACTATTGTCCTCATCTTTGTTGCCATATTTATCACTTCAGTATCTGTCTATATTTCTGTGATGAGGTATTATGTACACTATTTACATTATTCGGACTATTGTCCTCATCTTTGTTGCCATATTTATCACCCTTCAGTATCTGTCTATATTTCTGAGATGAGGTATTATGTACACTATTTACATTATTCGGACTATTGTCCTCATCTTTGTCGCCATATTTATCACCCTTCAGTATCTGTCTATATTTCTGTGATGAGGTATTATGTACACTATTTACATTATTCGGACTATTGTCCTCATCTTTGTCGCCATATTTATCATCTATTGTCTATATTTCTGAGATATTTATGTACACTATTTCTATATCTGTCTCATCTTTGTTATATTTTCACCCTTGAGATGTGGTATTTCTGTGATGAAGTACACTATTTACATTATTCGGACTATTGTCCTTATCATTGTTGCCATATTTATCACCCTTCAATATCTGTCTATATTTCTCAGATGAGGTATTATGTACACTATTTACATTGTTCGAACTATTGTCCTCATCTTTGTTGCCATATTTATTACAACGTTTCGGACGTTGTACGCTCCGGCCTTCTTCACGTGGTTGGAATGTTGAACCTAACCGAATAATGTAAATAGTGGACACAGCACATAAAGTAGTTCACATTTTGGAATTTTCTTTTTGCTGGAAACCATGCATTCTGCCTTTTTACAATTAAAAGTTAGTCCTTTTTTCAGACTTTCCTTTACTAATTGATCAGGATACCTTGTAGCCATCAACACACATGCATATTTTATTTTAGGATAACGTCAACCCTCACTAAGTCTTGTCTCCCTTATTATTTGCATCGCTGATGTTGAATAATTCTTGGGAGAACATCCTTGAAAGGAAGTTGTGGAGAGCCATGATCGCCTACGTTCTAAAGGGATACGCTACATAAAGATGAAGATTGATGAAAACAGAGAGACGGTGACTATGTGCCAGCAAAGTGAGTTTCGTGAACCAGCAGGAAAAGATGCTGGTGCGTGTGTTAGGGGTGGGAATTGAAGTCTCACCCTTGGACGGCACGATAATTTTGTTATGGGGTAAAAATGAAACTTTGTTGGAGAAAATCAACTGAAAAGGGAAGAAAAGTGAAAAAGTGAAAGAATAAAAAATATTCGGACAAAACGACGAAAGATGGCCGATAACAAAGGCACAACCATATTGGCTACAGTAGTAGAAAACAGCGAAAGAAAATAATCAATGTACATTGCTAAAAAATAATAATAATAATAATAAGGAAATAAAATAATAACAATAATAACAACAACACCAACAACAATAATATTAAAAATAACAATTACAACAATAATAATAACATCAATAATAATAACAATAATAATAATAGAACCAAAATAAGAACGAAAAGTATGTATTAGGCAAAGAAGAACAATATTACGATGCCATTGTAAAAGTTTTCAGTTTCAGACGGTCTTTTGTATTTATTCCCAAAGAAAATAGCATGGTTACTTAGTGTTAGAGAATATGAAAAAGAAAGGAAAAACACAATTAACAACAGTAAAAGAATTAAGAACAGAGTACCTCGCGTTTCATGTGACTTTTGAAGACCTAATTTTGAAGCTAATTTTAAGAGGGTAGCATCATACATGAGATATAAAATTAGCGTATGTACTGCTGCCCTAGCAACGCCGTTGACCAAACTATATATCCATTTACTGTAGTCAAATTAGCTTCAAAATGATCTCTTCAAAAGTCGCATGATACACGGGTAAATTCAGTAGATAGATAATGAACAGACTGCGATAGATAGATAGATAGATAGATAGATAGATAGATAGATAGATAATGAACATACTGCATTAGATAGATAGATAGATAGATAGATAGATAGATAGATAGATAGATAGATAGATAGATAATGAACAGACTGCGATAGATAGATAGATAGATAAATAGATAGATAGATAGATAGATAGATAGATAGATAGATAGATAGATAGATAATGAACAGACTGCGATAGATAGATAGATAGATAGATAGATACCGTATATGCTCGCTTATCATGCGACTTTTGAAGACCGAATTTTGAAGCTAATTTTAAGAGGGTCGCATCATACATGTGACATAAAATTATAATAAAATAATAATAATAATAATAATTAGAAGAAGAGAAAAAGATAATAATAATTACAAGAAGAAAATAATAATAATAATAATAATAATAATAATAATAATAATAATAAGAAGAAGAAGAAGAAGAAGAAGAAGAAGAATGTCAAACTAAAAATCTGTGCACTATAAAAATGGCTGTTGTTCTTGATGTAGGTGTTAAGGGTAGAAAGAAAATCTCAGTTCTGTGTGACGCGGATGCTGAGATCCATTTTAAGGAGGAGTCGGGAACGAAATCTAATATTCCCGTAACAGAACACGGAATGAGATTTAGAATGGCCTGGCAAATTCTGGAAAGGAGACAGAAATTTGTAAAAAGCAAAACGAAAAACAAAAAGAAAACGAAGGGCTGAAAAAAAAAACGAAAAAAAAACAAGATGCAGCGAAAGTGTGAAGATGTCTTCTGCTGCAAAAAAAAAAATAAATAAATAAATGCAATCAATAAATGCAGAAACAAAATACGGAACGAAAGGACTGAGAAAAAAAAGTCTATTCAGATCTTGAAAATTGAACGAATCCAAACAGCAGAGCAAAAAGAAACAAAACTAAAGTGATGGCGATAAAGAAAAAAAAAGGGGGGGTCTTTAAAAAAGGGGGGGTCTTTAAAAAAAATAAAATAATGTCAATAAAAACATCAGCCTTTTCCTAAAAAGGAAACATTTGACCGAATAAACATTGCAAGCCGAGCTTTTTCTTCACATCCAGATCAACTGATTAAGATCAAAGTGTAATATCTGTTCTCCCCATTTCTAACGATCAGTCAGTTATGTGCCATGCGTGATACACGCTTAGGCGATCATGTATCTTTCGATACATGACTGACGAGGCAGATTTTTTTCCCGCAGTAAGTTGTCATTAGTTGCCATCCAAGGCTATAGAACCCGGTCTGTCCTGATATTTACCCATAGCTAGGAAGAGAAGAAGAGGATTCATACCATTTTCCAAGGTTATTAGCACGTAAGTGAATGTAATAGATTCGACTGGAATTCGAACTCGGATCTCCGATTCCTCAATCCGAGCCGCTATCCATTACTCTACCGTTAACCGTTTCTTTATAAAGAAATCATTCAGGATTCATTGACCAAATGGCGTCTCAAGTTAACTTTGTCTTCACTCAAAAGTCAACGGGATTAGATGAGAGTGTGGTAACTGTTTTCTTCATTTCTAACGATTATGATATCATCAGCCTTTTCCTCAAAAAGAAACATTTGACTGAATAACCAGGGCGAGACGCGAGTAAAGCTTAACTCCCAGATGAGATTAGAGTGTAATATCTGTTCTCCTTAATTCTAATGATAGCGTAATATTAACAGTTTCCTTATAAGGTAAGTTCCTGGGTAAACGATAAACTACATCCGCATCCTGGGTAAGACGATAAGCTACATCCGCGTCCTGGGTATGACGATAAGCTACATCCGCGTCCTGGGTATGACGTTAAACTACGTCCAACAGCAAGGCATTTGATCAGGAGGTTTTGAGGAGCGTGGAATCACCTCTTAATTGCTGGTGTTTCCAGGTCCACCCTGACCCGGGGTGGTAGCACCCGCTAGGGTCCCAGCTATGGGCAAATAGTTAACCTGCAAACTGGGTTGAAAGCACTATGAAAGTGTACAAATAGGTTTTAATACCAGAAATATTTTGTAAAAAGAATTATTGCCAGAAATACATTTTTGAAGGAAAAAAGATATTACCAGCAATGCATTCTTGAAGAAATGTATTTCCAGAAATATAGTTTTTGAAGAAAAAATATTACTAGAAATACATTATAATTTTTGATTTTCTTAAAATAAGTTTTGAAAAAATGATAATTGATATTTCAAAGAATTTCAACGTGAGATTTCCAGTTTTTTTTATAAAATGGAAAAAAATGGTCAATTTTGCTGACTCAAAAAAAAAAAAAGATTTTTAACGAAAATTTCGGACATGCTAGGAACGGTTAAAAAATACTTTGATCTTTCCTCTTAATAATAACATAAACATTTAGACGATAAAATTTTGTTTTCCTAAAATTTTGTTTTTTTCATCATGCTAAGCTCTTTTTTTTTTAGCGATCTCGCGGAGGTACCTAAGCTAAATGGACCAAAAAGAGGTAAAAATGGGAAAAAAAAGGGGAGAAAACAGGAAAAAGTGAGGAAAAAAGAAGAAAAATTGGGGAAAGGAAAATAGAGGGAAAAGAAGGGATAAAAGAATGGAGTAAAGAGAAAAAGAGGAGGGGAGGCAAAAAGAAAAAGGAAGAAAAAAGAAAAAGAGAGGAAAAAGAAGGGCGATGAGGAAAAAGAGAAATATAGTGGAAAAATATAGAGAAAAAAAGAAAAATCAAGAGAGGGTGTTGGAAAGAGAATGAGAGAAGAGACGTGACGGAGAGAGGGAGTGAGAAAGAAAGCAAGAGTGAGAAAGAGCCCGAGGGATGAGAGATTGCCAGACGAATTTTGTGGGGGTGAGAGTGATCGTCAGGGAGCAAGTGAGAGTTAGAGTAAGTGAGGGATGGATGGAGGGAGGGTGAGAGAGAGTGTGTGTGGGTGAGGGAGAGAGAATGCAAAGAATTGGTTAAAAGACCAATTATCGCTCGATAATTCTGTTGGAAACAATCAAAGACATTATTTGCCGTAATGAAGAACGCTTAAAAAGCTTGGCTGCTTGAAAAAAGAAAAAAAAGCTGCATTTAAAATCCCGTGATTTTATCTACGTTCGAACACTGACAGCTGGCCTCGACGGGAAGAACGAATTTCTCCCAGGCAAAAATGGTTCGAGATTTAGTCGGAAGGCTTTCTCTGTGACGTTGCATTTCTTTACCATTATTATTATTATTTTATTTATTAACTAGGTTAAAAGCCTCCCTATCGGGCGGCATTTAAGCTAGCTCCTCGTTTCGCTATCATCACAGTAGCTTGGGATGTGTAGATGCAATAGGCATCCATAATCTACAGAACTCAAAATTGATCGCTGCATTTAAGTATTGAATTAATGTTTAAGCTCGCCTTTTATAAGTTCAATGATAATTCTTCTGCTGCCACTTAAATCAAAGACGATTTCATGTACGTAGATAATTATTTTCCTTACAAGCAATTATTTTTATTTTTGGGGGGTGACAAATTAAATTAGGCACGACTCACTAGTAAAAGATGAAAAATTTTCGAGGATTTTGACGTCAGTCTGGGGGGGTCTTTTTTATCGTCCAAATCCGTGAATTTTTCATGCTCATTTTAAGTTTTTCAATGAGTCATAGCTCATTCAAAATGTGACGTCGTCCCCTGGTCGCAGCGCCAACTGTGACGTTCTATCCTGATCTACCACGGCACCAGTTGTGACGTCCCCAAACAGCACCAATTGTGACGTCCTCGCCGTGGCGCCAGCTGTTCGCTCCTCGCTGCTCCGTTCGGGTGTCGCTGCTCCAAACGTGACGTCCGCCTGTCGCGTCAGTCGTGTTGTCTCGTCCTGTGACGACCAACTGGCTTGGTATCGGTCGTGGCACCCAAATGTGACGTTCTAACCTTTTGGTGATTCGAGTGGGAATCTGGTTAGATTTGATATCAGCCTCGTCGTTCCCAACTCGCTTCCAACGCCTGGTTACCAAGGTAACTGCATTGATCTCCAGTCTGCCCACCCACGTTGTGAATTGATCTTAAGGCAGACGAGATCAATCAGTAGTCGGGGCCGTAATGCAAACTGAGTTCAACAGGGGTGATACCACACAAATATGCATAAAAGAAAATAAAATGAAAACTCAAAAAGTTCAAAGTATCAAAGAAAAAGGTAACAAACTTTATGTCTAGTTGTTCAATACATAGGACTGCATCTATCTCCCGACCCGTTCTGTGGATTGTGACACGTCGTTTTCCGTTAGGCAAGTTTTAACGCTTCAAGTTGTTTGCTCTCTAAGAAATTGGTGTTTCGGTGTGTCCTTGGACGAAAGTCGAAAAAAACTTATTTCGGTGGTCTGGATCTAAGTCGCTCTTCAAAATAATTGTTCTTGGGTTGAAGAGGAGTCCGGAATTTGCGTGAATCTTGGTCAGCTGAACTCACTGGAACTGCTGGAACTCAACTCTGGAACTGAATTCCTGGAACTCTGGAACTCAACTCTGGAAACTGCTGGAGCCCGAACTGATTTCTGCTCGTAGGGGTTTCGCTTTTATGGACGCCGACCAGAACCGGGGTGGGTCTGTCGGCGTCGGGGGTTCCTCGATAATTCTAAATACATATCCACCTCTTTTATTTCTGGTTAGGGATTTTCCACTCTTTTCCATTTTTGGGAACCTTTTCTCACTCCCACCTTCCCACCATACTTCAGAGGGCGTGAACTGCCCTCCCCACTTCTTCGTAGCAGCTTCTCATACCTATACTCTGGATGAGGCGTCGACAGCCTCCTTCGTGCGTCACGTGATCACCACTCGACCAATGAAGTCTTAGTCGGGCGTGGACGAATCCGCGGCTTTGTTTCGGAAAAAAAAATATCTTGTTTAACTAAAAAAAAAAAAATTATCCTTCCTCCTCCTTCGTGCGTCACGTGATCACCACTTGACCAATGATGTCTTAGTCGGCGTGGACGAATCCGCGGCTTTGTTTCAGGAAGAAAAAAAATATCTTGCTTAACTAAAAAAAATTATCTCTTCTCTTTCCCTTTTCTTCCTCTTAATCGCCGTTATCATTTCCCTAGCCGCAAACGGGACAATATAACTCTTGTTCTGGTTTTTGTCAGATATTTTATCGCCAATTATCAGAATGGGTGGTCTTCTTAACACGGCCTCAAAAAAGAAACATCTCCAAAGTTTCAGTCAGTCTGTCGCCTCGAAGCAAGAAGAAAAAACACTTCTGGGTACCCATTCATTTTCCTTCGGCACATATTTCTGATAACATAATTTTATTATCGCAGGCCAAAGATGTCATGCGGCAAGAAAATCGGTCAGTGTAGTTACTTCGTGTGGGTCGCGATTAATTTTTCCATATCTACCCAAAGCCCTGTATTTACACCTGTGTTTTGTCAATTATCAAAATTAACGTTTTCAATTGGACTTTTCTTTGGCGAACATTTCTTGATAACATAATTTTATTATCGCAGGCATAAAGATGTTCTGCGGCAAGAAAATCGGTCAGGGTAGTTACTTCGTGTGTGTCGCGATTAATTTTTCCATATCTATTCAAAGTCCCTGTTTTTCGACACTTATCGAAATAACATTTTCACTTGAATTTTTTCTTTGGCCAGTCGACCAGCCGTTTGTTTGCGTACCCCTAGATAACACAGCCGTTATCAAAATACATCTGATTCTTTCTTTCTTTCCCTTTCTTTTTACTCAGAATTTCCCTGTCATTGTAATGACACCCTTTCGCCATTTGTTACTTATCAATATATTCATTGTCTCTTAGCCGTGTGTGTGTCTGCTTATCACCCACGATTCGTCTCGCCTTTCTTTCTGCCTTCTTTTCTTTCTTTTCCTTTTCTGCCTCGTAAATGGTGCCACAAAAAGCCCTGGAAAAGTTAAGCGCAGGGAACGATTTTCGTTAAGCACAGGTTCAGGGTTGCCAGATTAAAAATATATATTAATATATTATACTAGCCATTATCGTTGGTTTCAAGGTTCTACCTTTTATTATAAATTAGCTTAAAATCCTCCCTATCGGGCGGCATTTAAGCTAGCTCCTGATTTCGTCATCACCACAGTAGCTTGGAGGAGTAGATGCGATAGGCATCAATAATCTACAGAAGAACTCAAAATTGATCGCTGCATTTAAGCATTGAATTAATGTTTAAATTTACCATTTGAAAGTTCAACAATAATTCTTCTGCTGTCACTTAATTTAACGACCATTTGATGAATGTAGATCCTTATTTAACGTACAATTATTTTTATTTTATGGGTGACAGAACAGGGGAAAATTTATAAGATAAAATTAATATAGTGTAAAGATGGGAAAATAGAAATTAGAGTAAGTTATACAATCAGCGTTTGAAAAGTTAGAGGAACGTAATATCTAATTAAGTAAAAACCTATATTACTGAATATAATATATATATATATATATATATATATATATATATATATATATACATATATATATATATCATCATGTGATGCCATTTACACCTGCCTACCATCCTGTATTCCAATAGCAGTTGATATTTAAACGGTTTACTTCTGGTATAGAATTTTTCGTCTCCAAGATGGACTGCCTTTATTGCGGCTATGGAGTTCCATCTACCCATGTCAATAACAGGTTGTACTGGACTACGAGCAGGAACGATGTTATCTATTAAGTTTTTTTTATAGTAAGGTTCACCATGTACAAGGCCCTAGGGCCACTCGAGGTAGAGTGTTACGTTAAGGGGGAGTTTATATGGATAGGAGGGGAAGATAGCGGTGGACTCTCTCAGACATCAACAGGTTAAGATTGTAGTGATCGTGGCAAATATCCTCTTGGGAATCTGTTCTGCAGGGCAGTCGTTCGTGGAAAGAAGCTGTTTGAGTGGCATATTGAGGGTTGGTGGTTTGCTAATATGTCAGAGGCATGACGGGTCCTAGCCGGGAAGGTTGGAACTGGTGAAACCAAGAAATGCAGTTCGTCCGAGCACTTTCCATGTTAGTAGCGATAGAGCAGTGAGAGAATCGCCACATTGCACCCGTGAGAGAGAGAGAGAGGTTGAATGGGGGAAAATAATTCTTCTTCAACAATGACTCGCCGACAATTTTGAACTTGAAGACTGGAAAGTGAGGAGAGATCAGTTGCCAATCACTAACAAAGCAAAACGATGCATTTATTTTGAAGGTTTCTCATTTGGGGATATGGAATTAGATTTGAAAAAAATTAGGCCGACGTAAATTTTTGGTGAAAGAGTTTTTGATAAATTCCAATATAAATACTTGTTCCCTCAATTAAAATAAGAACGAATATGGATTTAAATGCTGCACGAGGTTATCGAAAACAGTTAAGATAGATAGATAGATAGATAGATATGAATAGACTGAGATAGATAGATAGATAGATAGATAGATAGATAGATAGATATGAATAGACTGAGATAGATAGGAACAAATTGAGATAGATAGATAGATAGATAGATAGATAGATAGATAGATAGATAGATATGAACAAATTGAGATAGATAAGAATAGACTGAAATAAGATAGATATGAACAAATTGAGATAGATAGATAGATAGATAGATAGATAGATAGATAGATAGATAGATAGATAGATAGAAGTTCGAAAAATATTAATACAGGCACGCACACAAAGATATATGGATCTAGAGGAGGCGAAACGTGATGGTTAACAATCAATAGGGATGGATACAGATTTGTCTGAGTAGGTCGAGATGATGTTACAAGGGGGGGAACGTACGGACGAGTGATCGACAAATGATGATTGCTTCTGCGTTCGGCCCGGATTAGAGAGAAGGTTGTTACTAATAAGATTGTCCAAGGCTTGTGATGAGCAAAAGGCCGATCTTTAAGTGGGAAATTACAAAACTACAAATAGCCATAAGTTGAACTAAGAAATCCTATTCGCTCTGAGACGAGCATTACCGACGTAATGAAACACTATTATCTTGTATACGAAAGTACGCGAACTGTCGTGGGGTCTGGATCGGTGCAACAACAGCATCTTCAAATATAATCATTGCATGCTTCTATAAATTTTAAAGTCTCCTATTTTATAGCGATCATTTTTCAAAATTTCTGCTGATTCATTTTTGGAGAATGTCTGCAAAAACTTCATTCTTCATTTTTTACAAGATTCTCTTTCATCTTCATTTCAATTGCTTTATTTCCACTAGTAGTATTAGTAGTAGTAATATTATCTGCAATTTCGATTAGATCAAGCATTGTCAAGGATTCTTCATTTTTCACTAGGATTTCTTTCATCTTCATTTCAATTGCTTTATTTCCACTAGTAGTATTAGTAGTAGTAATATTATCTGCAATTTTCATTAGATCAAGCATTGTCAAGCATTCATTTTTCATTTTTCATTTAGCTTTATTTCCACTATTCTTTCATCTTCATTTCAATTCAATTGATTTATTTCCACTAGTAGTATTAGTAGTAGTAATATTATCTGCAATTTTCATTAGATCAAGCATTGTCAAGCATTCTTCATTTTTCACTAGGATTTCTTTCATCTTCATTTCAATTGCTTTATTTCCACTAGTAGTATTAGTAGTAGTAATATTATCTGCAATTTTCATTAGATCAAGCATTGTCAAGCATTCTTCATTTTTCACTAGGATTTCTTTCATCTTCATTTCAATTGATTTATTTCCACTAGTAGTATTAGTAGTAGTAATATTATCTGCAATTTTCATTAGATCAAGCATTGTCAAGCATTCTTCATTTTTTTCACTAGGATTTCTTTCATCTTCATTTTTCATTTTTCTTCATTTCAATTTTTTAGGATTTATTTCATTTCACTTTATTTCCAGTAGTAGTATTAGTAGTAGTAATATTATCTGCAATTTTCATTAGATCAAGCATTGTCAAGCATTCTTCATTTTCACTAGGATTTCTTTCATCTTCATTTCAATTTGCTTTATTTCCACTAGTAGTATTAGTAGTAGTAATATTATCTGCAATTTTCATTAGATCAAGCATTGTCAAGCATTCTTCATTTTTCACTAGGGATTTCTTTCATCTTCATTTCAATTGATTTATTTCCACTAGTAGTATTAGTAGTAGTAATATTATCTGCAATTTTCATTAGATCAAGCATTGTCAAGAATTCTTCATTTTTTCACTAGGATTTCTTTCATCTTCATTTCAATTCATCTTTATTTCCACTAGTAGTATTAGTAGTAGTAATTATTATCATTGCAATTGTTTTCATTAGATCATTTCAAATTTCCACATCATTAGATCAAGAATTCTTCATTTTTCACTAGGATTTCTTTCATCTTCATTTCAATTGCTTTATTTCCAATAGTAGTATTAGTAGTAGTAATATTATCTGCATTTTTCATTAAATCAAGTATTGTCAAGCATTCAATTTGAATTTCATGAATCATTTCACCCCAATCAAGGGGGCAGTGCCACTAGAACACAAGCGGTTACAGAGTGTGAAAGTAAGAGTAAAGAAGGGTGTTTGAGGAAAGAATAACGCGAAGAACTAGGATCAAGATAAAAGCATCAGAAGATATCGATTGACATTACATTTACATTTTTGAAGGTTATAGTTATCAGAGTAGCAAGTAAGAGGAAGGGAGTTCAACAGTCAGGAAGTGCAAGAGAAGAAGCTGTTAGAGTAGAAGAGACGGATACATTTACCCGTTTCGACAGTGAAAGGGTGGGACCTAGATGCCAGCCTAGTAGCACGCTTTAATTCATGCAGTTGGGGCACCATTGAAAATAGCTCGTCAGAGCAGTTGCCATGAAAATATTTATAGAAAAGACAGAGAGAAGCCACATCACGTCTGTTAGAAAGTTACTGGAGTCTAGATGCCAGATCAGAACCTATCACATTACATATCCGTCTTTGGATTTTGTCGAGGACCTCGACATGAACAGCGAGGACACCAGATCATATATGGCAATAGTATTCAATGCAAAGATGAATGGTAGATTTGTTGATTTCAAGGATGGACTTAGGCGAGAAAAACCTCCTGGCGCGACACAGAGAACCAACTTTCCTTGCAGTAGATGCACCTATTGATTCAATATTTTCACAAATAGTAAATATGCGAACAGTACAATGCTTTCTAAGTATATCTGGGAAATTTAAAACAAAACACACATCAAATATAAATAAATAAACAAAATAACAATAAAATAAGCAAAATTAATTAACCCAAACTAATTACTAAATAACATCTGTTAGAATAGACGAAATATAATAATAATAATAAAAACCAACGAACCCAAATAAATAAAGTAGATAATAAACAAATTAGCAAACCATTATGACCAAGATATTAGTTAGACTATAAAAATCAAACCAAAAAATCGGACGAAAATGGCTATAACTGTTATATAACGATAAAAAAATACTACGTTACTTAAAAATCGAAAACCGAAAAGAGAATATATACAAATAAATATTAACAAGTAAAATAAATTGACCTTAAATTCATCCAAATAAATAAATAAACCAATCGTTAGAAAAAACAAATAAATAGCTTTAAGTTCTCAAACGACAACAAAACTATTAAATAAGCGATATAAACAAATATTTACTACTTTAATAAAAACACCGATTAAAAAATAAATAAATATATAAAAGATAAGAAATAAAAATAAAAAATAAAAATAAAAAATGATAATAAATAAAAACAAGCAAAACAATTTAACCCAAATAAATAAATAAACGATTTCCGGTAAAATAACCGCCAAAATATACTACCCACAATGCACCACTGATCCGTATATACATAAATAACCGAGAAAAATAACAGCACTCGTGGCAAGACGATTGCATCTAGCATGAAACAGACTGTCGCCTCTAAGTATTGACTTCTATGTACACTTTTATATTTACTATCACTCTATCTCTGATATTGAGTACTTCATCCTATAAATATAGCGCATCTTAAGACTATATTTCTTCATATATATATATATATATATATATATATATATATATATATATATATGTTATAAATAACTGATTTAAAAATATGGAATTACCAAGTTTCAAATTCAATTATATAATTAATTCAAAAGCATTAGTTCTGTTTCATCTACAAGCGAATTTTGGAATAACTTATTCTTAAATTTACTGACTTTTAATAGCATATACATTCAAAATTTTTGTTTCCAGGATACAGAGAAATCCAATCATTTAGACAGGGGCGGTGTATATCTTACTGATCTTTTTTTTTTTAATATATATATATATATATATATATATATATATATATATATATATATATATATAAAGGAAAAGTCGATAGGAAAACTCTAGTTCGAGCCAACGCGTTTCGTCCAATATCATCATTCATAACAGAATCACTCTTCTCCCATATTAATTTTCCGGTGGAGTAATGGATAGCGGCTCGGATTGATGAATCAGAGAGTCGAATTCAATTCGAACCCCTTATTTTCACTTACGTGCTAATACCCTTGGGAAAGGTATGAATCCTCGTCTTCTCACCGCCAGCTATGGGTAAGTAACCTTGGATGGCAACTGGTCTACCGCAGAAAGAAATGGCAACTTACTGCGGGTATAAAATCTGCCTCGTCAGTCGTGTATCAAAAGATACATGATCGCCTAAGCGTGTATCCCGCGTGGCACTTAACTGACCTTTTGCTAACTGTCATGGATTCTCTCTATCCTGATGATGTTTAATCCTTAATTTCTTTAGAACAACCTTTTCAGAAAACCATCTTGTTTCTGAAGTTCGTTTTGTCCTTAGGCTAGATTCACTTGAATATCTTACTTTGGAAATTGCAAAGGAACATTTAAATAATTGTCTAATGTTTATAATAATAATAATAATTAATCCAAGAAATTTCCTATATTTTTCAATTCTTTAAAAAATTAGGTACAGTTTTAGGAAAATCTAATTAAACAAATAAAAACACTTCCTAGATATTTAAATTTTTATACTTGTTTAATTTTGGTATAACCGCTTTCTGATTTTCTGGTGGAGTACTGGATAGCGGCTCGGGTTGAGGAATCGGAGAGGCGAGTTCGAATTCCAGTCGAATCCATTACATTCACTTACGTGCTAATACCCTTAGGAAAGGTATGAATCCTCTTACTCTCCTTCCCAGCTATGTCTCTTCTTCACTGGCATACAGGAGGACTGAAATTGCATAAAACTTCAGTACTCTTTTCTTTGTTTCTCTTGCTTCAAGTCTCTTCTGTGAAGAGATTGTCCAGCATTGGCTCTCATACAGTTCAGTACTTATTTCTTTGTTTCTAACGAAGCTTTTTCCGTCTCTTAATACTCTGCTTAGCTTTTGGAAAGCACCTTTGGTTATCGCAATACGTCTTCAGATTTCCTTGTTGCACTTTCTTCCCTCTGTTAAAAAAACTTCCCAGATGTTTAAATTTTTATACTTGTTTGATTTTGGCATCCCCGATTTGTAATTTACACTTTGGGTTCACACTTTTGTTAACAACCATCCACTCTGTCTTCTTGCAGTTGATGTTTAGTCCTTTCTTCTCGCTTTCCTTTGCTATCTTCTGTAGGAGCCTTTTTAGTTTTCTTTCCATGTCTCCTATTAACACTGTGTCATCTGCTTATCTTAATTTCAAAATTTCTCAGAATTAACCAAAATCAATATGTATAAAAAGAAAAGACAATCTCACCT